GGGTCAGGAGAGGTCTGCTGCACCATGTGGGTCACCTCCAGGGCAGGATCGAACTCATGCTGAAGTGGCTTTAGCTTCTTAGTGCTGTGCTTTAACCTACTGCACCAACAGGGAGGGCCCTATTATTAATTTTTTGAGGAACTGCTATATTGCTTTCCATATTGTCTGTCTTGTATAATTTTTAATTAATTTAAACAATTCTTAACTGTCTACCTACCACAAGAGCAGAAACCCTGACTATTTTTGCAGCCTTGCTCCAGTATCTCAGTATCTAAAACAATGCCTAGCGTAGAGTAGACACTGAAATATCTAATGAATTAATCAATGAGTCAGCCTAATAGGAACATGGCATTGTAAAGACTCATTCTCTACACTTAATGAGTTTACAAATTAGTTGGTGAGATGTGACACACACAAGCAATGAGTAAATATAGGAAGGATATAATTATGTACTAAACTGTGTTTCTGCTTTTAAGCATGGGAAATGTTGAGAGGAGAGGTTTTCGTGGGTGGGTAGAGTCAAGGCTAATGGGTAAGTTTAGAATAGAAGGGGGGAAGGAAATGCAGGGAGAAGAAGCAGTCTTCTCCCATCCTCCAGCTTTACTGAGGTATAATTGGCAAATAAAAATGGTCTATATTTAAGGTTTGCAACTTGATGCTTTGATATACATATACATTGTGAAACAGTCATCATCTTTAAGCCAATTAACATATCCATCACCTCACAAAGTTACCATTTTGTGGACTCGTATGAGAACACTTTTGATGGACCTTCCTAGCAAATTTCAAGTACATAATACAGTCCTGTTAACTGTCATCACCAAGTTATGTATTAGGTCTCCAGAATTTACTCATTCTGCATAACTGAAACTTTGTACCCTTCACCAATTATCCCCCTCCCCAGCTCCTGGCCACCATGTTTTACTCTCTGCTTGTGAGTTTGACAATTTCGGATTCCACATATAAGTAAAATCATGCAGTCTTTTTCTTTGTGTCTGATTTATTTCATTTACCATAATATTCTCTAGGTTTAGCCATGTTGTCAAAAAAAAAAGTGACAGGATCTCCTATCATTTTTAAAGGCTGAATAATATTCCATTTCATGTATGTATATGCCTCATTTTTTACCAATTCATCTGTTGATGAACTCTTACGTTGTTTCTATATCTTGTTATTGTCACTAATGCTGCAGTGAACACTGAAGGACAAGTATCTTTTTGAGATACCAGTTTCACTTCCTTTAGATATAAATCCAGAAGAGAGTATCACAGGTAGTTCTAATTTTAATTTCTTGAGAATGTCCATGCCGTTTTTCATCCTGACTCTACCAGTTTATGGCCCCATGACTAGTGCCCAAGGGGAGACACTGTGGGAGGCAACCTGTGATTCTTTCTTGAGGGTCTATATTGGGGAGCAGGGTAGAGGACTAGCTAAGGAGTCTAGATAATCAACGCAGGACGGCAGTATGGGATGTGGAATAGGAACAGTCTCAGGAGGCCAGAACAAGGTGTTCCATAGGTCTCTACAGTGGGGGGTCCAGGAAGCAGCCTCTTTTAAACATTCAGACAAAGAAGGATGACAAGTACGTCTCCCTCCAGGAGGCACACTAAGAAGGCACTCCCTGGCTGGGAGCCTGGGAAAAGCAAGACATGGCCTTGTTAGCAGCACTGGGGGCTTGGGCAGCAAAATGCAACACCTGCCCCCCTTTTCCCTAGAGTTGTTCCAGAGCTTTCTCATTCCTCAAACCAAAAATTAAGATGAAAATCGGCACTGTAAAGGTAGGAGGTGAGACTTCCTGACCCCTGAAACATCACAGAGCAGAGGCCCTCCTGGTAATAGTTGCAGCCTTGAGAGACATTTTTATCCTTTTAGGCTGCATGGGGATGGGCTGCAGAGGTGGAATGGGACTGGGCTGCAAGGAGGGAAGGCCACCGGCTAGCTTCAGGGGTGGGGGGAGTGGGGACAGAAACAGTATGAAAACAGGGATAGAGAAGGCAGATGGGTGTGAGGTGGGGAGAATTGCCTGGATGACCGGGAGGCAGGGACAGGCTGTGATGGGTAACCGGGGCCAGAGAGAGCACATCCCTCTTCCTCCTCCATGAAAAGGAAAATAAAATCTTTGCTTTAATATTTAAACTGAGAATTCCTAGGGGAGAGGATAGTCCATTTAACAAAGATCATGGACCAACCTGGTTGGAAAAAAATAGAACACAGGGACAGGGTTAGATGTGAATCAGAATCAGTTAATCGACTCTGCAAAGGAAATGAACAATTTTTGGTTTGAGGAATGAGAAAGCTCTGGAATAACTCTAGGGAAAAGGGGGGCAGGTGTTGCATTTTGGATTTTCCAGGAAGCAGATGCAGAGATAGAATTTCATGTTCAGAATCTGGAGGTCTCTTGGGGATTCCAGGAGGAGGAAGGATGAACAGAGTGAGAGGCTGGGCTGAGTGCTGCAACCTCCAGGGACCCTGCAGGACAGTCGGGGCTGAACGCAGACTTGCCCCTCAAGGGGCAGAGACGACTGAGCCTTCATATGCCATGGGCCACAGGCCACTTCCGAAGTGTGACTGGGCTGGGTACAGCTGAGGCAGACCCAGAGGAGATACCTGCTACAGGCTGTCCATTCTAGACAGGCTCAGTGCTCGGATAACATCCTTTGAAGGGGATCTGGGCAGAGCATCTCTGTTTTGGAACTAGATATAGATGTTGGTATGGACATTAAGTTTTACGCCGTGGGTGGCTTGGGTGTTTGAGCTGATTTTTAATTGCATTGTCAAGACCGAGGAAACTTCTTAGCTGATTTTTATATTGTCAAGAACTAGGAAATTTCCCAGGTACAAGACATGGAATTATAGAGGGACTGCATTGGAGTAACCAGACTTTTAGAAGGGCCTTATGATTCTTGCTCCTGGTTTTCAACTCACTCATGCAGTCCCCTCCCCCACTGAATAGAGTTGACCTGTGTAATCACAGACCATTATAGAAATGATAGTATGGGGGACTTCTGGGGCTAGTAAGAAGATGGGACTTGCATCTGATTTTTCTTGGGTCACTCCCTCCGGGGAAACCAGCTATCATGTTATGAGGGCGTTCAAGCAGCCCTCTGTGTGGAAAGGAGCTAAGACTGCTGACAGACAACACCACCTTGCCAACCGTGAACTAGGATCATGCATCCCCAGTCCAGTTCTTCCACAATGACAGCTTGACACCTTGACCTTGATCTCCTGGAGGCCACGAGCTTTAGTCAGCAACAACCCCAAGGCAGAAGCAGTCCTCTAAGGTGCTCCTGAGTTTTCAACCCACAGAAACTGTGAGAGACAATCCACAGTATGACAATGTTCACTGTTTTTTTACATCATTCAGTTTGGGGGGACTTCTGATCAAGATGTAACTAATACATTGTGCTTTTTTTAAAGATTTATTTATTTGTGCATACAGAACTGGGGTACAGGTGAGAGGCTTCACCAGAGGCAGAGTGGAGAGCAGAACAGGCAGATC